GAGAGAGAGAGAGAGAGAGAGAGAGAGAGAGAGTTGATATACTATTATATAATTAACAAATAAAATGATAGCTTCGTATCCTTGGAGTTATGAGAAGTTATATAACTCTCTGCCATATCTTAACGTAATTTAATAGTGTATCTGAATATCATATAAAAAGACTCGCAATTCATTTGGCGCTCTCTTATTGCCATATATCTAGTGTTTGTGTGACTTTAATCACGTTTACATTAATCGATCATTAAATCAAAGCGTATTCAATGCTTATTATGAAGTGTTTCATATGAGAACCTATTGTCTGCCATAACAACAACAAAAAGTGAATACGAGTTTCAATTGTTTGCAACAAAAATAAAAGTCATCAATAAATTTGTGATTATTATTAGCGATGAATTTACAGAAAAATAATTTTTTCTAATAAATAATTAATATTTCAATCAAACATTAATTTAAAACAAAAAATATATACAAAACGAGAACAAAGACAATGAATTTCTTGTTTAGCTTCGATGGTAACGATTCTCCTCTCAAGAAACAGATGGCACAGGCCTTCCGGGGCTGCCGTTGCGCCGCAATACTACTCATATTAACCCTACTATTCCTAATCGGCGGCACTTTATTCACAATTCTGCCCAACGATAGCCAACACACGACTCCCGGCGGGGCTCCCGATGGCCCGACACCAGCCCTCCAGACACTGGGACTCGTGTTTCTGATACTGGGCTGTATGTGTGCGGCCGCCGAAGTGGTTCTCGTCGTCATTACAATTGTGTTTCTCAAAAATGTCAGAATTTTTGCCACAAAAGACATACTTAACAGCGAAGTCGACGGACAACTCATGGGTCCGGCACTGGCTTTCAATAATAATAATAATAATAACAATATATCCAATGACTACAAGAAGATTGACTTTAATTTAATTCAGTATTCATGCGATGAAGAGATGAGACCAAAACACACCACACATTCGGTCGACGAATCGCCGCAACATTATATCCAACAAAATACTATATGTAATGATGTTTAACACACTTTTCATTTAATACACATGTGTTTCTTTGGTGTATGGATTGGTTTAATATTTTTTAAATGTTTGTTTTGTATTCTAACTTAATTACTATTTATTGTATATTATTTTTATTGCATTATTTTTAGATAAATATAAATATGTAAAATTAATAATGAATTCTTATTAATGTCTCAATAAAGCACAACATTGTGTTTAGTTTGTAATAATGGACACAATTATCTTAATTTTTAAAACATATTTTTTATTTTTTATTTTGTGCCAATTATTAATATAAAATCACAATTAAATATGCAATTTATTGCTTCCCATCATTACTCAGGCAACAAATTTGTAGACATTATATAATATAACGGCTTAAATGTTTGATTTTAAGATATATTATCACAAAGGCTTAGAGAAAATTTCCCTATTTTATAGTTATATTAATTTAACTATCAATTGATACGATAACGTTCAACAACATAAGTCTCAAAAGTGATTAACTTGTTTTATCACTTAATTAAATTAAAACTCATAGTTTAATAAAAGTTATTAAAATCCTATAATATTTTAATATCTAATTTAATAAAATCATAAAATTTTAAACAATTGACATTTTTGTCAATCTCAATTATTTTTTCAAATATCTCATACATCCCGAGGCCCGCGGGGTTTGCGAGTATAGGTGTTCGGCTGAAGGAGGCGTTTGTGGCGGTTATGCCATCGATCCTAAGGTCTGTTGTTCAGGACTGAAGTGCGTTAAAAACGACACCCGTATACCAGACCTGCCCGGGAAGTGCCTAACAAACACATAATCAAGAGATCCCATAAAGTTTGATAAATACAAATTTAATTAAACATATTATGAAATGTAATAATATCAATGTTCAGATTATATTTTTAATGTTGCATTAAAAATGTGTACAAATGCTATAAACATTAAACAATTGAGAGATTTGTAAGTTATTTACTAAATGTTTAATTCAAACGCTTAACAATTGTAATAATGTTTACAATAAATTCAAATCATTATTATTGTTATGGATTAAGAAGTCGTTATTATTAAGTGTTTGATATTAAGAAATGACACGACTTTGTGATTGGTTTAGAAGTTTATGTGCGGAGAACCCGAGGAATAATACCAATACTAGTAAAGAGGTAATCAATAACCTATGGGTTAATAATAGTTATTTAAAGATATAAATCTGTTAACTATAGACTCAAAAGTACGCCAAAGACTCATTTGATCGCTTCGGTGATGATTTGATCCGACTTTTGTTGTCTTATCATTCATACGATGAAAAGTTTGGCCCATTTGAGAGCAGATCCCGACACGAATGCGTGTCAAAGCAGTTCCAGCGATGTATTTACGACACCATTAATGAGATACATACCGGCGACGGATTGATTGCAAGAGTTAAAGCCAAAGAAGTGGATCTATCGGACGAAGACTTGTGTCTCAAATTTGTTGCATTTCATCAGAAAAAGTGTCCAAATATTGTTGAAATAACTCATGATCTCTGGGAAAAGGGTTCTTATTGCGGACCATTACTACAAGCCATGGATCAGTTGCGCAACGATTGGCCGCATCTAAAGTGTGTTGATTTCAATGATGGTTTTCTTATGGAGAATTTCTTTGATAATCAAATTTATGAGAGATTAAAAGTCTTTAGTTTAATGGTTAAAAAGATCACTATTATTACCAACGAACTGATCCCATATGAAGAAGACTTTCCCAATTTATGTTCTCTAAGCACTCCTTACTTGGATATGATGTTCACCGCAAATGACAATCACTTAATGGCATTCAATCATTTGAAAGACATTCGTTTTTATTGGGTTAACACTCAATACAATTGCCATAGATTTAAGGCATTTTTCGACTACTATTCCTCTCGACTTCAGATTCTCGAGTACTTTATGAATGATATTAATATATCGGAGGACTCGGAGACAAATGTGACCCAATTCTTAACACAATTGTCTAAATTGAAAGAATTAAAAGAATTGAAACTTGATTTAGTGGACGATTCAATTCTTCACTTTTCACTATACGATAATCTGAAGACAATTGGCTTAAAATGTTTGAAACTTAAAAGACTTTCATTGAATGTTCAATTAAATAACACTGGATTGAATGTAGAGATTATGAATTGCATTCAATTTATACCACATTTAAAACGATTACATTTAATGTTGAGATCTCGAGAATACCCTAAAACCGATTGGACCAAATTAGAGCCATTGGATCGTTGGCCACATTTGACACACTTATCCATCAATTTGTGGGAATATACACCACAATTGCTGAAAGACATTGTGTCCACACAATCAACACTACAGACATTTAATTGTTATATTAAGGATAATATGAACACAAAATGGTTGGGTTGTGTCTCAAGACTATCAAAACTACAATTGCTGTCAATTAAGTCAAAAGACGGCACAGACTTTCGAAAATCAGATATAAAGACAATTTTGAAGAAATGCACAAAATTGAGATCAATTGAAATCAACAACAGATTTGATGCCAACATTTTGAATAAAACCAATGAAAGTAAAAAAGTCTCAAAAAGTGTTAAGAAGTCTCATTCAAAGTGTGTTATTCTTTAAGAATATTTCTTTCAATTTTATCAATTTTTTTGTTTGAATTTTCATTATCTATTAAATTATATGTTGTGTTTGTTAGCAAAGTTTTCATATTTTTAAAATAAATTTATTCATTTATACATCAAATAAATTGCATATAATTTTTTTAAATTAAGAAATATTTTGAAGCCATTTGTGTTTGAGAACAGTATGGATGTTAGGCCTGGCATTCGGGGCACTACTAGTCATCGACTCCAACAACTCCTTCAATGACTGGCTTTCAATGTCTTCAATAAATTTGTAAAAAATATTAGCGAAAATAGCGAGAGGTTTGTTGTTTAACACAAATTTGCTTAAATCTCCTCTCAATAACACCAATAAAATTATTCCCAAACTATAGATATCTTTAGCCATTGGTTTAGTAGAGAATGACTCCAACGAAGACATCAAACAAATTGGATCCGTTTTGGAGTAAACTTTGGCTGAATTTGGGAATAAAGAGGCGATTCCAGAGTCGGCCAGTCTTACCACATATGATGTCTTTGTATTTATTGTCTATTAATGAAAACAATTGTTATTTTAAGACATCATTGAATTTGCAATTAAGTGTCAAAACCTGATGTCCAGTATAGAGGAGTATATTTTCGGGTTTAATGTTTTTGTGAGCGATTTTGTAGACATTGTGCAGACAGTGGACGGCTTCGCATATATCGGTAAACCAAAGCCGAGTCCAGTCCTCATCCAAACCGTCCGGTTTTTGTTGCGAAATAAAGTCACTTAAATTCATGTCTGCCATCACTGACACAATTATCAGTTTCTTTATCTCATTATCTTTGGCCGATATCTTCAATAACTTCTCGATTTTTGGTATTTTGTTGTTTTGAATCTTCTCTAAAGTGACCACAGATTTGTTGAACACATCCGACAAACTCTTGTAATCAATTTCATTGATTTGCATCAAAATCTTGTGATACATTTGGACGTCAATCACTTTAATAGCCATCGCCTGGAGTTTGTTTGTGGTCTCAGACTTGCGGTAACCCTTATATACGGTCCCATAATATCCGCCGCCAATACTATCTCCGGACAAATGGATGCCATTCTTCTGCAACTCTTTTCGCTCACTTTTATTGATGAAAACTCGAAGACTGATTGTTTGCTTTGATGTCTTGTAATAAAGCATTGATGTTATCATAAATACCATCCAAAGGAAGGCATTGATAATCAATCCAAATGCTGTCACGTATACGAAACTAATGCCAAACCTCTTCAGTAATGGCAGAATTGAGGCCATTATTCTTGAAAAAGACATTTTTCTCATTCACTTTTAGTTATGCGGTTATGAATAGTTTTAAAACCACTTTTGTATTTTTATATCGAGTTTAAATTTAAATTATGTAACAATTAAATGACTTAAATTCATTGCGTGATTAACAATTAAAGGGTTATACATGACTTGAAAGTTGTCTAATATTTTAAAACTAATGTATATTTTGTTTTTTAATTAAGTAAAAAGTTTCAATAAAAAAGTCAATGAATTCTGTCATTAAAATAAACTAATATATTGTGAACAAAATGAGACATTTTAACAAAACAATTATTTATTTTAAAAGATAAATCTAAAATACAGTTAATTATTATAAATAGATGATAAAAACATTAAGTTAAAACACTTGCGATGAGTAATGGGTGGCATTTAATTGAGTTGTCGCTGTTGTTGAACGCGTTTAATCCAATCGGAGTTGGGATCGCCGGCCTCGGGATCGGCGGTCGGTTGGGAAGCGTAGCCCTCGTTGGCGAAGGGGTTGTATTGCGGTTCGTTTACGGGTGGCATTTGGCGGACACTACCCGTGCTTTTGGTCTCATATCTTTCAAATTTGACAATTTTAGTCATTCCGATGGCGAGTGTCAGCAAAGATATGCCGAGGAATATAGAGCCCAACACTACAAAACTGAAGACATTCATGAATGCCATTATAGAGCAGATGAGCCAAATAAGTCCGGCCGACACTATGTGCCAACCCCTCAACGATGGCATTGCCATTTCGGCACTGATAGACACAGGTGGGCAGTGATGGCCACTCGTATGGCACAGACAATGCAAGCAATGTTATAAATTAGATGTAATCACTGAAGTTGTGGTGAAATGAGACGATTTGTGTTATTATTAAAATGATGACGCCTTCAGTCATGGATTCACTAGTGATGTGTATGAATGCAGATAACAAACAATTGCCTAAAGAATAGAAATATTTTTTACATAAAGTTAATATTGAGAACCATATCGAGTGGTTGTAATTGTTATTGTATTTACTTTACATTTATATGAGTTAGAAGTATATAATTTTGTTTATTATTACTTTTACTCACAAATTAATAATGTTTTAAATACAAAAATAAAATTATAAATAAAATCGTAGCTATAATGGCATTACATTTAATCTTATTTTAATTATCATTAGTTGCCATTGGTTTCTATCAATAAATGCGAACAGTTGTTGTGGTGATTATGGTAGTGGAGGGGCAAAGTTTAAGCAAGTTGTTTAAGTTTTGCACTAACAGGTAAATTAGAATGTTAATTGTAGATTCACCAATGATTTAATTTAATAATAAATAAAATTAAAATATATATTAAGCTTAAAATGAGTTTTGATGTCAACTGATAAAAAGTTATGGTAACTTTTCATAAAGTTAAAATCACTGTTATTATTATTTGCTTGGTTATAATATCACAATAAATCCAATATTATTTATTTTACATTAAACAAATGCAATTCTATGACTAAACACCTCATGATAAATGATATAAATATTAATTACATTATTCATAGGCAGACAATAAAACAATGAATTTCTTATATTTTGTATATTTTATTTGAACAAAATTATCACTAATTTAACAAATATAGAATAGTAACTAATTTTATCTGAAATCAATCTTGATAAATTGTTTTATTAACTTTGTATTTGATTTAGTATGATTAATAGATTTAATAATAGTGACTTTTTATTTACTACACCATTATTAACTGTATAATACTAAATTTTATAATTACAATATAACAATGCAATTAAGTTATATACTGTATGTGATTGAAGTGATAATTCTCAAAATGGACAAAATGATCAAGATAGTAATTAAATTAATAAAATAAATTCATTTACCATCATTTAATTAATAACTATTAGTTAACAAAATATTTCAGTATTTACACACAAATAAAATTATTAGTCTAAAAATGAACCAAATTATAAATTAGTATTTTAATAGAAAATGTTAAAACATTCTATAAAATGAAGACACCTTATCATTCATTCGACCAATTGATGTCTCAAAATAAAGTAGAAAACAAAATATATATCAAAATAATTTGTTTATTTAAAAAACAACATAAAACTTATGGAAAACACACTCAATATAATTAAGTGAAAGACAATATTTGAACAAATGATTTAACATTAAAAAAACAAATCACTAGTTTATGTATCAATATATATATATATAAAGTTGACAATCATTTAAGGGACGGTAACAGTGGACACGTGTTGTTGCTGTACGGTTGTGGTGGTGCGTGAGGTCTGGTGCGGATAAGTGGGTATCCTCTCAAAGTACCACCACTTATATCCGGCCGCAGCGCCCACTATGAGGGACAGCAACAGGAATATAACGCCCGCCGCTATTGAGCCGATGAAACACAAACAGGCGATTATGAAGATGATGAAAGCGCCGACACCGAGATGCCAGGCCCTGATCTGCTCGTACCACATGTTTCTCACCCAATCCATCGATACCACTGACCGACACTTTCTCTTATATACCGCTGATAAGCAATCACTTTGTTTGCAATCACAACAACCAATAATACGCCCGAATTATTCACTCAATTAACACTGTTTTTTGTATAACTGATATATTCTTGCATTCAATTGTGATTTTGTGGTTGAAATTATTGTTTGATTTGTGAATACCTTTTCACTTCTGATGTCTTGGAAACAATAGCGACCAACGATTAGATTATATTCAATAAAAGTATTATTTATTATTTCAATTTTTCACATTTGAAATAAATATGTATTTAATTCAATGTTTTATATCAATGACTTATATAAAAGGCATGTATTTCTCTTCGATCATTGCAATTGTGAACCCAATTGTAAATCAATGACATTATTATTAACTAATAGTTCATTAATTGGTTAGGAATTTGATGTGCAAATTGTCACATAAATTAACTCATTTTATTAAACAAAAGATTTTATATAACTTATGATAACTGGTATAAAACCTATGATTGATAACATGTTGAAAAGTCAGTTATTTTGTTATATTAGTTAAATATAAATCTCTCATTCAATGAGTTTTATTATTTCTTACTTTGAGTGAAACGAAAGAATAGTCACAAAGAAATTATAAATAAGAATTGCATTGCATTTAACTTAAATGCAGTCAATGTCTGAATTTAATTAATAACTCATACAATTGAAGGACATTTCTATGTTTTACTGGTTATATCGGAGTTACAATCGGTTATATAATAGTATATTGTTAATAAATATACAGTATATTACTATCTGTTATAATTTAATATAATTAAATCAATCATACCTTTGTATTAAATCATATACAGTGGGTAGTTTGCGATGGGTAATTTTATCCAAGTAAGTATTTATGGGTAAAATCCACAATGTTATGAATTATATTACAATTATAATTACAATTATTTTTATAAATTATAAATAGACCATTTTGTTTAGCATGTTTTAAACATCAAAAAACATATTTGCATTCATTATTAACGCAATTATTGACTATAATTTGAAATCAAAGTAATGAAAAGAATTACAATCACTCATTAAATGCTACACTAATAGTGACTCTCAATAACAAACACATTTTTATGGCGTAAACAAGAGTTTTATTTTTACTAATAATTTATACATTAATGAAAGTCATCATGGTGGTTTATATAAATAAAAGACACAGAATTCATTACATTAAATGGTTATAATTAATACAAAAAACAAGACAAATGAAAATCTATTTAAACAGCATTTTTGGTGCCGTATATATGACTACAGAATATAAATTTGCTGTCATTATATACGGGAATACTATTTATTAGTTCACATTAGTATCAATTAATGAATAGTTTTATAAAATACTTTAACAAACAATATAAGTGGTAGAATTACAACATGGTGATTTGATATAATGATCATTCATATTTGCAGTATTTCCAAAGGCCTCCAAATATAAGTGCCAAACAGATGAGGAGGAATATAACTGCCAACCAAATGGGTCCCAAACAAAACAATATGATCGATATTAACAGCAATATAATACCGGCCACTCCTAAGTGCCATCCCCTCACGCTTTCCAACATTTTATTGTTTAATCGTAATTGAAATTTATGACCAATTTGTTGCAATTATTGTTTCATTAAGTGATATATGTTTTAATGAAAAAAATGTCGACAGAATTGCATAAAAATAAAGTGTTGAATGCAATGAACTCTATGGCAACACTATATTTAATGCTTCATTACCTGTAGTGCCATATTTGCCAACACTTGATAACAATTATCACAATTTGTCTACATTTTAATAGACTTATTATTTATTTAAGTTTATTTGCATTTTTAATAAAAATTTTTAAATTAATTTAATAATAATAAATATTACATAAAAATTGAGAGATAGGATGCGAGAAATCCGCATAAATATAATTACAATATAATAGATCAAAACATGTATTAATTAATAACATTTACTCTAAAATAGGAAGTATTCTGTAGAAAATGAAATAAATTTTAGGACAATTAATGATAAGATTATTGACAGATATTTCACTGATATTTGTCTCTTCAGTGTTGAGCGGATGAGTGTTGAGAAGACAAATGTAACGCATTTGTCTCAATCCGGACAATGATATCAACGACTCGTCGGTAATCTTCACGTACTGTACGTTTAAGTGCTGGAGATTCGGCAAATTGTGGCCAATATTGGCAAAGAATTTGTCCGTTAAAAAGTGTTGAGAAGAGAAATAATTGATATATAACTCCAAATGAGTTAATCGTTTCAATGGCGCCAATAAATCACTGGTCAGCGGCTCTCCCGACCCACTCATTGCCGACACTTTGAGTCGAGTTAATGCCATAAAGTGTTTACTAATCGTACGAAACAATTGTGGACTCCATTCCATGACTTTGATGTTAAGACTCTTCAGGTGTCGACTATTGATACCAATTTGAGTCAATAATGAGATGACATCTTTAGACTCAAGCCATTGGATGTCGAGTGTAGAGCAAACTAATGCCCGCATTCGCGGCACACTATTGGCCAGATTTTTGACCACTCGGTTCAGACCCTGTTCTTCGTCATACAAATAGACTTCCAATAAAAATGTCTTCATTTGATGGCCGTATTTGTCCGCAAACACATCCCATGCTTTCAAATCTTGGGCCGACTTTTCCAGACTTAAGCCAATACTATTGAGTCGTTTAAACGGCACTCGGCTTTCGGTCAACGATTGTAGTGTTAGGTATGGTATGGATTGGGAATAGCCTTCAAATGACCGCAAATTGACACACATTTCCAGCCATTTCTCGATTGACTTCTTGTCCACACTTTTATTGAATCCCATATTAATTGATTTCAATTGTGGACCAAATTTGATGAAAAACTTATCAATCGTTTCGACACTAATATACTCGCAGTTGATATCAATGTCCGTTAATTGAGAGCAATATTTGATCAGTAAATCAATGGCTGTGTCTTCGAAAGGATCGGCGACTTTGAGGCAAACAATTGAAATATTTGTGCATTTCTTGACAATTGTCTCAAATATACTCCAATTGTATTCATTTCTCTTGAATTTGTGACCAAATGTGGTCTCAATTTGTCTTTTCAATGACACGAGTGTTGATTGAAAAGCATTCAAACGTTTCTTTGGGATCAATCTTTGGACACAATTGCCATCAATTGATAACTCTGTTTGACTCCTGAAGACAACTCTTCGCCACTGTTTTGAAATGCATTCAAATCTGAATTTGTCTTCGAGTGAGAGATAAGACAACAACTCTTCGCACAAAACATCACTGAATCGATCCAAAGAGTCTTTTGCATACATTTCACACACTTTTACCACAAAATCAATTTATAACTCAATTAAAAGTCAATTCTTGTGATAGAAATCAACGCAAAAAATATTCCATTTATTTAAAAACAACTTATTTTTGAATTCATTTACAGTTTTCATGAAATCTCGTGAATTGTATTGAACTCAATGACAATTTTTAATTATAAAATACAGTTATTTTTATTTACTTAATATAATATGTATTATACTTTATCATTGCATTTATATTTAAATTTTATAATAGCATTTTAAAACTCATTTGTTAAGCTAACCTGATTTATGATTGATTTATAATAATAACATACATTAAACAATTATGTAAAATAGGACTCAAACTCGTAATCACTTGAAATAAATCAAAGCATATTTGTTGTCATTATAAGAGATAACTTAATTCAGTCATTGATTTGTCAAATTATAGTCTAATTGAGCGATAAATCAGTCTTTCTGAAAGACAAAGCAGCAAAAAGTCAGAAATTAATACAAAACTAATTGTTATAACAAATCAATTGGTGAAGAGATGACTGACAGCACTGTTTAGCAGATGTTTCGCTCATATCTATCGGGAAAGAGAATTGAGTTTTAAAGAGAAAAATACAAAATGAGAGATATTTTTCATTTTAATTTCTCTAATTAGCGAAACGACCGAAACATGCT